ATCCTTCTGTAAAGATGTCAATTTGATATGCATTAAAACATGACCAAATGTGTATCTACCTCTAAATTATTCAAAACCCTTAAATAGAGGTTTCACATTATTTAATCAAATTGCGCAATTTTAATGTCCCACTAACTACTACTGTAGCACAATAAAAAAAATATCGATCACAAGAAACTTCTCAAAAGAAAGCAAGAATGTGTTCAACATAGACTTGAACCTGTCTGAAATTTATTAAAAACAATAATAGTTGCTGTACAATTAGAATTGAAGCTATAACCAGAACTATGAAATACGTCAACACGCTAGCAATCGATATTGAAACCGAAACTGCAATGATCCACTCACAACAAGGAAATTGGAATTTTCAATAAAATTGACTCTAAAGTGAGTGGCGCTAAGTCGAATCTTATCATTTCCATCGTCAAAATTATGACATTCACTTACCACCACTTATCAAAGTCTGGAAAAGCTAAATTCATTTGATGGAAAATGAAGAAGTGCGTTTGCTCGTGATTCAGATCTCAAATCCAAACATTTGACATATCTAAACATAAATCAATGCGGTTTGTCCCATTTTTAATTTTCCAAGTTACTTGAAGCTAACGATGCTGATGCAACTGTTTACAAAAATATAGAATGTAAAACAATATAAAGCTTAGTGGAAAATATAGAAACTTAATTATGTACAGTGGCGGTCATAGAAACCTGGACCACTAGATTTGGCACACACTTCCAATTAAAAAAAATATATGGTTTAATTAATGTTTTGCTTGACAAATCAAATAATTTAATAAAATAAGTGGTCCAGTTTGCGATCGTACTTTCCTAATTTTATAGATTTTCTAAAGATGGCAATGCAAGTACAAATATCGAATTTGAGAAGAGGTATATCACAATGTTGGACCACTTTTAACTTTTCACGTTCTAGTTATAGGTTGTGTGTACACTATCTTGGTCTTGTCTGCCTTACACATCACCTCTAATGTACAATAATAATATTGTAGTTATTGTCTACTTCAAATTTTATAATAGTAACTCTTTTGTATTGTCTGTGACCAAACTAAAACAAAAATAGCATATAAATTCCGCACCATCTACTCAACTACCATTTTCAATATCATGGCACATTATTAAAGGCAGTAAACTTGTTTTTTACTTTACACGTATGGAGTAATTTCAATAATTTAAAACCGATAACATCTTAAAAAACTTTCAACAGGCAAATAAAAACTTATTTCGGTGTGTTTTTTTAACACCACTGATTCTATTTGTGACTATCGTCTCTTTGAATTGATGTCATATACATTTTTTTAAACGAAGTGATAAACGTTTTATTGCACTTTTGAGGAACACTATCTAACACTTTTCTAGTAACCTCACATTCAATACCCCATTCTTTAGTAATTGTTCAAATATTTACACTTTTGATTTATCCAAAAATATTTTAAAAATAGCCACAAAATGTTTACAATTTTTCTGATGCATAATGAATTAACGCACTTTATCTGTTCACACACAATATACAAAATGCAAACTATTAAAAATACAAGTAAATAATACGAAAAATTAAGATTTATTATGAATTTAAATTCATGAAAACACTGCAATCTAATTTAAAATTTTAACAGGTAATCTAATTCAAGAACTGACTAGTTTTAACGATTTCTGTTTCTTGCTATTAAGTTTTTAATTTCAAATTACTTAATTTATTTCACTATATAGATAACTGCTAATCATTTACAGAAATAAATTCACTTTCGAATTTCAACAGTGATGATTTGAAACACATACATACATATGTAATCTATACATAAACTGTAACAATTGTCAAAACATGTGTGTCTGTAAGTGATGTTACAATTGATATTTTCAATAAATTGAAAATACGGTTGAACTACTGTGCATTGTTGGGTGTTTACACTCAAAGCCAACTCATTTCCCATTCGAACACGTGCGTTTTTGTTCACCAATGTTCGAATATAATGAAAATTCTGTGGGATATATAAATCACTAAAAGAAAATCGCTCAATGCCCATTATCATATGGGACTGAAACGGTATTTTAAAACTATATGTAGCATAAAACGGTAAAATACAGACTGTTTCACACCAACGCTGTACCTAGTACATTAGAATAAAAAGTCCGTTACAATGTACGCGAAAATTCTACGCAATCTATGTAGTTCGAAAAACTATCAAGAACTATTAAATGTTTCCATTACACATATTTTTTATGTTGCTTATGCTGAAAGAAAAATACTTCAATTGCACTCCTCAAAAAATTGCTCCAAAGTGCTTGAACAGCATTTTCCCCGCCTCCAATGCATGTTAGAGTGAATGTTTTTTAAAAGATTTATTTAGTAATTTTTGGTAAGCATATCAATTATGCTTAATTAAACGTATTAATTTTAATATGGTGAATAATTTTATAACGTAACACTATAAACGTTAATTTGTTCTAGGAACAAATGAAATAGACTTCTCCGAAAGAAAAAATAATGGAGATGTCAGGATGGAACCAAGGACTTTCACATACGAATTCTAAAATTAATAAAGTTCCTTACTCAGGTTCTAAGGCAAATTGTAAATTTCATTTTTTCACAATTACTCGTACGGGTTGAGTTAAAAATACAAATATATTATTACACCACAAAAAAACGCGCATGTTACACTATAAATTTCATACGAAACTTGGCACAATTCTTAGATGACGTCATCAAATTTTTGGTGGGCATTAACAGGCAAGAACACCAAAATTTCACAGCAATGAATTTAGTAGTCTCAGAGATTAATGACTAATAAAATTGCCAAAAGGGAAATGACAGTCAGCAGACGCAGACAAACAACGTCACAATACGTTTAAGTTAAAAAATAGGAACAAAAAACAAAAACAATCTCATAGAAGAAGGAAGGAACTTCATCTTCTGCTGACTGACACAAAATTTTCATACTTTTCTTCGTGTCAAAAATTGCTTCAGTAAAAGTACCAGTAAACATTAAATTTATTTTTGGTAACTGGGCGAAATTTGTAATCGAAAAACTGTAGTATTTTTAGTATTACCTTATTAGTGGATTTGAAACAAAACCATAAAATCTAAAAAATATAACATTCAAGTAGTTAATAAAAATTTTAACTTTAAAGAAATTGTTTGTACATTTTTATGTACATTAACCTATAGTTACATCTTACAATCTGTGTTGATAATGGGAGTGCAGTTAATGAAGAAAATAGACCTACATTTATGTTGATATTTGATTATTGTATGAATTTTCATATTGCAATTATAAAATTTTGAATATGAAATATAGTAGGTTTGGAACCAATACAATGTAATGCAAGTACGTAATTCATTTAATGGATCAATATAATATACCACTTAGGAAAAATGGAAAAAATTAATTGAAAATAGATATGGGGGCCCAACACGGAATTTATATAATGCCATCAGCAGGGGCGTATGTTAATAAAAAATCAGTAATTTAAAATTGTAGCGTGACGGAACGTTTATTATGTTAACATGAATTACCTATATTGTTATGAGCTAATTCTATTAAAAAAAAAACTGCTACTTGGGTTATTAGAGTCTTTCAAACATGGCAAAAGAATATATCTAGCAAAATAAAATTATGATATACTTTTTACTTCTATTTGTTAATAATGATAATAATGAAAATGTGTGTATAGAGGTTATTTTAGCATACGTTCAATCACATTCAAAGTACCTTTTTGTAAGAGCATTGACCACTACAACGTACGTCCGAACAGATTATACAATACAAATGTATAATCATTACTATTCATGCACTTTCATGTGGTAATAAATAGTTTCAGTTACAATTTAAGACAATTAATACAGACATTACCATATTTTTAGCCATTTATAATAGTAAACGCCAATTCACTTAAAGACGATAAATATCTAGAAACGCAAACACACCAATATACACATCACTTCTTATCTTTAACAACAATTATGGCAATATTGGTTAATTTTAATGAAGCGCATTTTTTCATTGTTTGATAAACGACATTTAAAAATGAGGTTAAAATCGATGCTCGCACTCGCAGCCTACGCAGAATGAGGACGCGAACGTTTTTAAAACCGCCATCAAATTAATCGACCGTTCGACAACGAGTATAATGAGCATAATTATCACACGACATTCAGAGTTGGAAGCCAAGACAAGACGACCACGGGCATACCTGGGGCAGGAGACGTCGGTCGTGATTGGAACCAAAGGGGAAAAGCTATACGCTTATGTGTCCAACCCACCATGAGCGGTACAACTTTCCACCCCAGGGCCCAATCGGAGCGCGCCCATCGCCCCCCACGCCGCCGCTAATTGCCAATTAACGCAGTGCAATAATCCCGATAGCGGCCCATCGACGAAGCCGTCGATTATCAATCGATCGCGATCACGTGACCCAAATCGTCCGGGGCGGCTGTGGCCAACAAAACAAAATTAAGAATAATAACCATGGCAACGATCCGTTAATCCGAATCGCAATCACACGCCGGGAACAACAGAAATAGAAGATGTGTGCGAGGGGTAATTACGAAATTGATTAGCGCCGCGGCGCTGGGCGGGGGCGGCGGGGGCGGCCGGGCGCCGCGATTGTCCCAGCCGCCGCGATTCAGATAAGGAGCCATCATCCATCCGTCAATCGAGCCGGCGTCGGAACAATGAACCCTGCCGGCCGCCGCCGCGGGCGCCCCAGGTCCGCGGCGCCCCGGCGCCCGCCCCCGGGGCATCGGCGACCGGGACGCCGTCCACTAGCCAAAACGCGACCAATCAGGTGATCTCTCGCATTGGAAATGTTGATTTTCGGACAGCCAATGGCGACTGGGGACGATTTCTTCGTTGCACGACGAATTTGGATGAATCGACGGCCGCCGTCGATCGATACGGGATTAATCGATGTTTTGCGGGCCGATGGATGGGCAACGTTTATTTTGCATGCATACGAAGAAAAATGGGACGTTTGCGGAAACTCACCATGGACACCGTCGGCCTCTGTTCCGTTCGCTCTATTCCTCTTTGACACCGACGAAAAATGCACTTTCCACTACGTATCCGCCGGATTTAACTATACTACATTGATAATCACATTTGTATTAGAGATATTTTACTTATTAGTTACACTTATCAACGATTATATACATGAATTCACTTAATTAAATTTTGTGTATAAACTGCACGTATAAATGAGTACTCCATTTTATCATTACGCTTGTGATCGACGGTGCTGCCACCGAATGACGCGCCAAATTTGAATGTAGTCCATTTTTCACCGTACCGCAACATAACCGTAACCTTGTCCGCAAACTGTTCGTCACCGAAAAACTACACTCGACTTAAAATTATTTCTGGTTACGATTACTTTTTAAGTTGAATTTTCTTTTATTTCGGCGGTGTTGTAGTCACCAAATAAATTATTACATAATCTACAATCAAACTTTCTTCATATCAAAACTACTGTCGCCTATTAATAAAACCTGTTAATTAAAATGTGTATTATTATTTAAATATGACTGTGACAGTTAACAACGTATTAAAATAATATGAAGAAATATTTACATTCTCCTTGAATAAATTAAAGCAGTTTCATGTAAAAATTGGCGCGCAAAAGAGTTGAATAAAAAATTATATAACAAATCAGTTTTTATTTCGTACACAATTTTACAAAATTTATTGTTTCACTTTTTTCGGGGCTGGTTGATCGGTTTCCATATCTTCATCACTTTCAGTTATACAGATAACGCTCTCGGAAATATTCCTCGTATCATCTAATTCTATGATTTCTGATTCTCCTTGTTCTTTTTGTTCTGTATTTGTCACAAATACTACCGATTTTCCATGTCTTCTGCCAACTAAAAAGTTTTGAAAGTATTTAAATAAATTACTAATTAGTAATAAAAATATAGTATTACCTGCATTTAGATACACTTGACGTCCATTGTGACTTATGGCATTTTTGGCTTGCTGTTCGTTTAATCCAAAAATTAGACCTCTGAAAAACAATATTGAAATCAATTAAACCTTTTGTAATTATTTAATGAATCTATACAAAGTGGTTTCATTTTTGTCAACATTACTTTAGAAACACCTACTGTCTGCTCAGGAAATAAATTTGGTAAAAGAAAATCTATTAACCCAATTCTATTTGAATTTTTCGTTTTTTCAGTGAAATTTAACTTTCTAATAAGATTTTTTTAACATTATGAGCTGATGTTTGTGATGACAAAATGTGCGAATAAATTAGAATTTATCATAGTTTTTTAAACACTGAAATACTTTTGTAACTCTAAAAATTCGGTAAGAATGTTTTTTTTTCAAACAATTAATAATTTATTTATATGGTCAGTTTTGTCAAGACCAGAAGTGTATCTTATTCCACCCTGTACTTATAAAGTAAGAAAATGTAGGACAAAATTGATGGTTTTTATAAGTGCATAAAATTAATATGTATTAACAAAAGTAGATCTAAAGGGTATGTACGAAAATACATTTTTTTTAAGTTCAGTTATGTAATTTAACTTTATAAAAATACGGTACTGCTACATTTATATTAGAGAACATAAATATTTGTTTACCATAAAAATTAATAATTTGTGAGATTTATGATTGTAATGTAAACAAGGTTAGAAGTGAAGTCGATGCAAGTCACTGCTCCTACTTTGACAGAAAAAAATTGTTTCTTACAATAATAATTAACTTTTACCCAGTTTCAGAGAGAATTAAGGAACACGTATATGTCATGTAAAAGGATCTTTTTGCAGCAAATCATGATGAATATTCTAAACTTTAACTGTAAGCGCGGGAGTGTTTGTACTCCGTACTATGTCAATTTTTAAAAAAATCTCAATTTGCACAACCAAATGATGGGCTTACATGCCAGTATACAAACTGTGCATTTCTGTATAACTTATAGTTACTTGACTCTAAAACATCATCTTATGCTAGCTGCCACCAGAAGCAATTTTGTCTAAACCTAGTAAAATCTAAAGGAATATTCTAGACGCATGTCTTTGAGGGAAGTTATTTACAACTTATGAAAAAAAAAAAACGAACTAAGCTATTTAAAATTTCTCTCATTTCATTCTTTCCAACACACATCCTACGAGCTTTCTGGAGATTTACCGAACAACATTTTTGTTTTTATAAGAACACATAAGGGTCACTTTCATACCCACACAAGTTAAAGTAATAAAAGTGACTTCTAGCTGAACATATAAATATCGCAAAGCAAATTAAAAAACAAGACTGCAGGAAAAATAATCATAAACAAACGAAAATGAATAAAAACAAAACATTTAATATATGGCAACTAAGTTTCAATTCGTTTTTCCCCTACATTTAATAGTGAAATCAAAAAGTTGTTTTGTCTGCTTCACTTCTCTAGATATATGTAAATCCAAATTTATTCAAAAATAATACCCTACACATCTTAATATTTGAGACGAATGAAAAAAATTTAGACAATACACAAATAAGGCCCGGTAAGCCTCTATAATCTGAAATGTCGTAGTGAACTAACTTAAGTTTGTAAATTCTTCCGCTCAAAAGTTTAATGTTAAGATATATTTTTTATTCTTTTTTACTGCAGAATCCTGTAGACAATAAAAAATTCAGAACAACTGAAAAAATTCAAAATTCAAATTCATCAAATTTTAAAATGTCACAGCCATAGCTTAATTTCCAGACCAAATATAAAAATGTTTCGGTTATTTCATGTAAAAAAGAAAGTTGGTTATATTTAAGGTGAAAACACAAATGACTGAATTTTTTTTTCATGGTCTGTTCATACATCAAAAAAATCCCACTTTATAATAAAAAAGCCATAAAATATGGACACATCAGTAGAATGTAATAAACCTTCTTACTTAAGTAGTCTTAGGACTATACATTTTGCTCATGGATTTTTAAATTAAACTAGTCTTAGAAAAGCTAATGCCTTCAATATGGTTGTATGAAATTGAAGCTACCATAGTTATAACTGTTCAACAGTTAAATACATACAAGTTGACGATGTCATATGGATTCCTAATGAAAATGGGGCTCGTCGCTGAACTTGATAAGATTATGTTCTTAGATTTTATAAATGTGTGGTAAAGATGAGCTGTATGTATAATATTCTTTCTCTTTGTGGTATCTTCAATTGCAGGGCCATATGGTAATTCAAAATGATATCCTCTGTCAACCAACTGTTTATACATCTTGCGATTGCGCTTCACGTGGTTTTTATTTTCAGGGTTAAAACAAAATATATCTGCATCAAAACTGCTACAAACAAACTAAAACAGAATTATGTTTTATAATTGGGTAAAAATATTACCAAAGTTGCCTGTAGTGTTGTGGGTAGTACCCCTACTATGTGATACTTCTTGTAATTTGGAGATTTTGTCTAGAAAATATTTAATAACGCCACTTGTAACTACAATGCAGTACTTACAATTTTATGTAAAACTTCTTGACCGGCAAATACTATTGTTAGACGATTAAAAATTTTTAAATTTTCACATCCCTAAAATGTTGAATTATTCAAAATAAATAATGGTTATAATAAGATCTTAAAATACCGGGATTATAGAGGGCACATAAGGTTCTGGAACTGGATCTAGTTGTGGTTCTCGTGGTTCACCTTTCTTTTTTTTCTTCTTTTGGTCCAAGTCATTGCCATCAATTGTCTGATTTATAGCTATGGTTCGATAACCATCTTAAATATATAATTGTATGTATTTTGTACAACACTTACTGTAGTATATACTTACACTCATATAGGAGTTTAATGGTTGATTCATAATTATTATTTTCTAGACATTTTTCATTTATACAATAATCGAAAAAATCCGTCACTTCAAACATTTTTGTCATTTCATAAATATAATTTTAACTTTAATCCACTATTCCGTACTTTCTAATCACCATGTGCTTTCTGTTTGTGGTTTTTAAAAATTCGGCACCAACATTAACCTAACTAAAACTAACCTAAAAACAATGACTGACAGAAGATGAGTTTGACGGATTGTTTATATAGTTATCTTTGTTTATTACTTTCAAGAGTGTATAAATAGATCTCTTTTCATTCCGATATTTGATTTTATTTAAGGTTAAGAAGTTCGAAAAAGGTGAAAATGTTTCTAACAAAAGTTTTTAATAACCTACGCCCCCAGAAACAGTGTCTTTATTTACTACAAACACACTTAAACCAAAGATTACAATCAAGCAAGTCCAAAGAAGAACAGCCTAAGGCTGCCAGTAATCAAACTTTGGGGGGCATGGGTTCAAAATATCAAGTTTTTCGTGATGAAGATTCTGAAGTTATTCTTGACCTTTACGAAGAACGGCACTATGGAGATTTACTAGAATCAGAAGAAAGAAAAAAAGATTTATGCGAAGGCTTAAATTTAGAACGTGAGGATAAGTCTGAGTAAATTACTTACAGCTGAGTAAATTTCTTTCTTTTAAAGGAGGATTCGATGGTGTTTATGACATAGAAGATCTCGTTGAAGTACTTCGCCGTGAAAATGCCCTAAACATTTTCGTTGCATCAGTTCCTAAAGAAATCAAATATGTTAATTATATGTGTGTAGTCACTGGAAAGTCAGTGAAACATATGCAAGCAATTTCTCAGTTTGTAAGAAAGGTTTATAAGAAGAAAAGACATAAAAGTGATCCAGTTCCCAAACTTGAAGGCGCAGAATCGAAAGATTGGATGGCTTTAGACTTAGGTGAGTTGGATTTGTGTATTACAAGCCATATACATATAATAAATATTAATATATTTTTTTACACATAGGAAACATTGCACTTCATATATTTTCTCCAGAAGCCAGAACTTTGTATGATTTAGATTCCTTATGGTCAGTAGGTCCACAGTTTGATGCAGAATACAATAAACAGGATCCTGTTGCTGAAATGCTAGAAAAACATTCAATATATTTGCAAGATTTACGCCCTGCCAATTAATAAAAGGGGTATCTCTAAATGTTTTATCTACAAATAAAGAGTTATCACAATATTGACTTATCTCTTTATCTGTGGAGATAATGTTTGTACTTATTTCCCCTTAGTGATTTTATCATTTATTTTGTGAATCAGTTCAACAAAACGTTTAGAAAAATGTGACGTGAATATAACGTTAAACAATGAGTGAAAAGAAAAAGTCGTTAATGCAAAAAACGTTTCTCAGTTATGTTCTCACAAGTAAACAAGATGCATGGATTAATTATTTAATACCATCAATTACATCATTTTTGCTGTATATTTTTTTGTTTGCGAGTGATGTAGCGGTCGTATTTAGGCATTTTAAAGATGAGAACCCAATATGGGCTTCCGTTACGTTATTTGTGATGTGGTTACCTTCCCTATGTTCCTACATTGTGATAGTCTCGTCGTGGGACCTCTGGCCAGACATGGAAGGTTGTGAACGTGATAACTGTATATGGTTTGTTGTAAAAACATTAGAACATTTAATGTTCCCAGTGTGGGCGATTTGGCGGTATGTAAGTTAACAATTCAAGGCATATAGCAACCTCCAAATTGAATTATTTCAGATTTGCAGAAAGAATTTTTTGGTCTATAGAAGCGGTGCGAGCATCTGATGATGAATTTGTATATCTTGCAATTAATAAGGCATCAGCACCAAGAACAATTGAACTGTATTTCTTTTTCCAAGCCTTTTTGCATTCTCTACCGCAAATGCTTATACAACTTAATATTCTAATGAGACAAGATTATAACGTAAATAGACAGACTGGTGAGTTTTTTTTTTTTGTCTAAAAAGATTCATATTCAACCAAAATATTTTATAGCTGATGCAGAAGTACTAAGTTTTGTGTTCAATCTGTCCAAAATAGCCGCAACTATTGCCTTTTACCAACGATTTAAAACGCAGAAACTAGCAGGCAAACAATACCCGTGGTTCAAATCTTATAAAAACCGCTTTAATCCGACTGATGAAATTGATTCCTTGACTAGACCTAGGGCTACTCATACTAGACCAACAAGTTCAACAAGTGAAGACCCTAGTCCTAGAGTTGTTCACATTAGACAACTAAGTTCAACAACTGAAGAACCGCCACCCTCAGAAAGCAGAAGGAGCAGTGATTTCTATTTGGAACCAGAAGAGAGCGATCGACCAGACTCTATGCATAAGTCAATTTACAGTGAACCAGAACAGCGCGATCGACCAGACTCTGCGCCTAAGTCAATTTATAGTCGTAACTCAATGTACAGCCGCAACTCAGGTTACAGTACTCAGCCTGACTTCAATATAAGGAGAGTAGCTGCAGTGAAAGGTTTACCAGAAGATGACCAGGCAGGAAAACTGGTGTCTTTTCTTTGGTGGTCGTGTTTTTTATTGGCTAGAATATTGGCAATTTCTACTTTTTTCTATTTTTATCCAACTGCTACGTGTTGGCTGCTTTTTTCACATTTCATGATAGTTATTTCATTTTTAATTTATGACGTCAAGTCAGATGATGTTAAGAGAGGCAAAGCAGTATTTTTTCTCTTCATAGGTTTGATTTACATATTTTGTATAATAGAATTTAAAATTAAGTTTAAGAAGACAAAATTTATGTACATTGGTTATTTTACTCTTGTTTTTCTTCAAGACTTCATCATGTGCATGATTTGGTGGTTTAACAATGTAGAGGATCTTCGTAAGGATTTTTGGTTTCAATACATATTTTATATTGTAATAATGGGTTCTCTTATCAGTGTTCCAGCAATGCTTTTATATTTATGTATTAATAAGCCAAAGAAAGTAGTGGTAGGTCAAAGAGTCTTGTAATCAATATAGAGACAGTATCAACATTTTCGTATTTTTTGACTCGTCATTAATAAAACCTTCGTATAGGATTTTCATTTTTTTTAATTGTTAAATTCCACAATGCGCACGTAACAATAATATTATTATTCTATAAATGTAATGGCGGAAAATTTTTAAATTGTTAGTAACTTTCATGTCTAACTAAATGAGTGAATTTTGCAAAAAAATATCAGATTTATCGAGGATTTATAATAACTTTAAAATAGTGTAACCGAAAATACAGAAGGTAAAAACAAAATCAACTCAAAGAATTGCTATCGCACACACTTAGATTCGTAAACTTATTTTCTATGTGCGCTTTTCGACAAAGTCAATGAACGTTGGCACTCCTGTATTTTGACAGATATCCACCACAATCCGGAAACGCATCCGCCATTTCTTTTTTACACGTTCTGTGGCGTTTGACAGTTTCACCCAGGACGAAAGTGGTTATTTTCGGCATTTTTTTGCCATAATTAAGTAATAAATAGTATGGTTTGTGCATAACTAGTGTATATTCACTTAGTATTTGATTTTAGAGTAAAATGGGTCGCTACGCACGAGAACCAGACAATGCGGCTAAATCTTGTAAAGCACGTGGCTCTAACCTCCGGGTCCACTTTAAAAACACATGCGAGACCGCTAATGCTATCAAAAAGATGCCCCTCAAGCGAGCCGTGGCTTACTTGAAAAATGTGTTGGAAAAGAAGGAATGCGTTCCCTTCAGAAAATTCAATGGAGGTGTTGGACGTTGTGCCCAAGCCAAACAGTGGGGTACCACACAGGGTCGATGGCCGAAAAAGTCCGCCGAATTTCTTTTACAGTTGTTGAGGAACGCGGAAAGCAACGCCGATTACAGCGGTTTGGATGTGGACAGGCTGGTTGTTGAACACATTCAGGTCAACCGTGCAGCTTGTTTGAGGAGAAGGACATACAGAGCACATGGTAGGATCAATCCATACATGTCTTCGCCTTGCCACATCGAATTGTGGTTAACCGAGGGAGAGACCGTTGCTGAACCACCCAAGAGCGTTGGAAAGAAAAAATCCGCGAAGGATGTCAAAAAGAGTAAAGCGGCAACTTCTGCTCACTAACTGTGTGTGTTTGATTGATAATAATATGTAAGAATTCAACAAATACATTTTTTTTTCAAATCAGTTTTGAGGTTATTTGGGTCCTTATTTGAAACTCTGAGTAACTATTAGTATTTATTTTTTTACGAGTCGGTGTACGTTAGGTGCTAATTCTGCTCAAATCTTAAAGTATTGTTAATTTTTTTTTTTTTGCAAGTCAACAGGTTTGGAGTATGTATGTGTAGCAGGCAATAAATTAATGTGTTTATAGGTGAATATGACATCTACATATTGATTACTGAAATTAATTAATCTATGTATGTTAAATCAATAATGAACCTACTATACTACTAAAGAGTAAATAATTCTCGGATTTATTAACATATTACAATAAAAATAATTTTTTGATTAATTGTAGTACTTTTGCGGCTGGTTTAACTATAGAGAATATGAAATTATGTGAGGTAGATAAATATATATTTTGCGGACCGAAAAAGTTCAGATTGATAGAAAAACTGAAATAATAAAAAAATCTATAGTAATTTACACAGAATTCTACTTGGATTTTTAAACATCACAAATATTAACTATACAGCGTGTTATTGAAAGGTACGTACAAAATAAAATCGACAATTGGTTTCGAGGTATGGGTGCCAAAAGTTAAAAAAAGTTCAGGTTAAAGTGTTCTCCTTTTAGAGATAAAAATGATTACAATTTATGTCCAAATTTGTTGTACGCCTCTGATAAAAAGATCATCTCTCGTTTCTATGGCAACATTTAGTCTTGACAAAAGTTTTATTGTTACAGTTGCTAGGATTTACTAAAATAAATTAATTTTACCTATTTATCCTTCAGTAGTGTCTAAAAAGGTTGGATAAGGGTTAATTTTCCCCTTATAATTTTGATAACACAAAATAAGATTTTCAGACTTCTTAGGCTTCGCGAAGGACTGTCAATTTTGTTGTACGTACCTTTCAATAACACCCTGTATATGTTCAACAGGGTGGTGAATTTTGCAGTGAAAAGATTCAATATTGCTTTTAAAGGACGTTATCAGTTTTATATAATAATGATCTGTTGTCACGATTTCAGGGGTAAGATCAAACGTTTCTGAGGTAATCATCAAAATTATCGGTTTTTATACTTATATTTTTTGAGCAATTGTAAAAAAAATGACCATTTTTCTATTTGATGCTTGCAGTACTGCATATGAATATAAGACATATTTTTTAATAAATAACTTATTTAATATATTTTTTTAAGTTAAATATTGGTGAATTTTTTGTAATCACTAATCAATATTTCAATGTTATGTGTTCGCAAAAACGCAAAGAAATCTCAACATAACTTGCAAAACCTGATAGTACCTAGCTAAAATTCAAAATTTTAAATTAAGCCTCATCAGTATTTCAGGAGAAATGAACTGACAAATTTTAAGATAGGTGTACTAAAATCTTAAATTTCGGTAGAATAATTTCCAAAAAAAAATCTCATAGAGGTAGAATAGGTTATTTATTTATTCTTATAGTCGAACATGACAATTTTATTTATTCCCGAACATTCAGGATTTAGATATTTGAATTTTGTGGATACAATATACATACAATATGTATTGTGAGTCCAAGTGAACGCACGCATTTGTTGACGCTCGCTGCATTTTCATTACTTTTCACGTTGGATTTATACAATAAATGGGTCCAAAAGTGAAAAAGCCATCTACGAATAACACTCAGGTGGAAAGTGTTATTAACGGGTGCCTTCGAAATTTTTTCGATAACTCCACTGTTAACTGTGTTTGTGGGACTCAACTACAATTGCTAGTGGAAGAAGTTGTTAATTGTAAATCGCTAATTATAGCCCAGACTGCTCTTATCAATCAGCTTCAGAGCGAAATTGCTGAATTGGGTGCTAAAATTCGACCTGACATCCACGGTAATCCATCGACATTGAGCCAGCTACGTGAAAAACGACAATCAGGTATAGGTGTAAAAACCGTTAAAGAAGCTGAATCTTTCACCTCAACTGATAACAATGTAAACAACACTCGTCGTTTGCATACACTAAGCGTTGGACCCTCTACAAGTTTATATTCTTCAGTAAGAAGGAACAGTAATGTTTTTCTGCAAAAAATAAATAGTCAACCTTCTAATAAGACTATTTCCGCTCATTGGGAGGATGATTCTGATTCCTCGGCCTCAGAAGAACCTGCACTCATTAACACTATTGGCGATGCCGACATAATTGTTCATAAACCTGTTATCGCTAGTGATGAACTGTCTTCGCTATTAACATCGGCACCTCAACATCAACAAGAAAATAGAACTCAAAAGCTGTTAACGAAATCTAGCCCAATCCAGACGACCTATACACAAACTAAGACCACTGAAAAGCGTAGCAACAAAACTCGTTTTGTTTCCACCAACACATCGCAAATCAATGGTGCCAAAGCTAAACTTCTACCACTTGAAAGAAATTGCTGGATATATGTCTCTAATCTTAGCTCTCAACAAACAACTGAAGATATACTAGATGTACTTAAAGAACTGGACCCTAGTGCCGACTTTAGCGTTGAAAAACCCGAAGCCCTTAATAAAAAGAAAACTTCCAGCGTGTTTGTAGTAAGAGCTCCCCTTAGGTATGAAGCTACTCTAAAAGATCCGAATTTTTGGCCTGCCAACACCTATGTTAATAAGTACTTTCATCCTCGTAATAAACAACAAAATTTTCCTCAAACTGTAGTAAACACAGAAAGCACTTAGAACTAACAGTTTTTCACCAAAATTCTCAAAGTATAAGAAACAAAAGTCTAGAATTAAATAGTCTGCAATTAAATGTCTCACTGCTTTGTATCTCTGAGCATTGGTTACCCTCAGCAACATATTTAGAGTTTCTTTGTATTGATAACTATAAATTAGTTAGTTGTTTTTGTAGGTCATCGTATATTCACGGTGTTGTTGCCATTTTTCAACATTCTGCTGTTGTAAATTTATTTGTGAGCAGAAATGACATTATGTCACTATCTGTGGAAAAACATATAGAACTATGTGCTGTAGAATCTGATAAAATTAATGTAATTATCGTAGTAATTTACAGGCCCCCTAAAGGAGACTTTAATATATTTTTAAACGTAATGAATAATCTTTTTGAAAGGGTGTGTATTTCACCACGATCTATAATCATTACTGGCGATTTTAATATTAATTTTCTTGAAGTTGATAAAAAATTAACAGACTTTTCAAATTTATATTTATCTTTTAACTTGAAGTATACAATAAGTGAACCTACACACGGAAATGCCTGTCTAGATAATCTGCTTACAAATGTGGAAGAAGGATATTTTTCTTGTAATGCAATTAATTACCACCTTTCGGATCATGCTGGCATATTATTTAAAATGCGCATCTGTTTATGTAATTCTTGGGCGACAAAGAAAACTATATATCCTGTCACAGCTGCAAACTTATATAACTTTTATTGTGATATTGATAATACGGACTGCTCATTTGTATATGATGAAAATCTAAGCATCGATGAAAAATTTGAAAATTTTACATACTTATTATCTTCAGCCGCAGAAAGAAATTCCTTACCCCGAAATGTTGTTGATAACATCAATAGTAAAACTCTTAACATTAATTGGTTCAATGACAAATTGAAAAATATGCGTCAGCATCTTCATTTTTTGATTGAATATTCTCGTGTAAATAAGGATGAGTTACTTAGGGAATATGTTAAGGAATATAAAAAAACTTATAGATCTTTAATTAAAAAAACTAGAAAACAAGCCCATGATGCATATATTTCTAAAACTAACAATCCTAAAGCTGTCTGGGACTTATTAAATCATCTAAATAATAAAAGCGTGGTTTATCAAGAGTCTCCATTTTCTGCTGAAGAGTTTAACACATATTTTGTCAATATACCGGTCTCATTAACTAAAGATTTAACACCCAAACATGTTACATTTAGCAAGACTTTGAATATATCAGATGAGTTTGCTTTCTCAGAAGTGTCATTTAACGAACTACGAGATATTATTAGTAATTTAAATAATTCTCCTGCTCGAGATGTGTATGGTTTAAACTCTAAAATAGTCAAAACTATCAAGCATCTTATAGTATATCCGTTAACGTACCTTGTCAACCAATGCATCCATAAAGGTATCTACCCAGCTGCTCTGAAGAAGTCTAGAGTACTCCCTATTTTTAAGAAAGGGGATCCCAAAATTTTAGACAACTATAGGCCTATTGCAATAACACCTATTATAAGTAAAATCATTGAGAAAGCACTACAAAGCCGACTTGTAAATTATTTTGAAAAAAATAACGTATTTTGCTCTTCTCAATATGGCTTTCGCAAAGATAAATCTACAGCTCTAGCAGTAACACACCTAGTAGCAAAGATAACGAATGCTTTTGAAAATAAAGCATATTTAGGCTCAATATTTTGTGACTTAACAAAAGCGTTTGATTGCCTGTCCGTTGAACTACTTAAAGAAAAACTTTTAGCTTATGGAGTCAGAGATACTAATTTAGAACTTTTAATATCTTATGTTACAAACAGAACTCAAATAGTAAGTTCTGAAGGTGGTCCCTCCAATTATCTTCACTCACATTTTGGGGTACCACAAGGATCAGTGTTGGGTCCGACCCTCTTTCTTATATATATCAACGACATTTGTAATGTTATTGATGATGGTGAGCTTCTCTTATATGCAGATGACACTACCTTTCTTAAAGAACACTGTAATACTTCAAACCTACATAATATTTTGACAGATAATAATCAAGAGTTGTTAAAAACTTCATTTGAAAACTATAACTTAGTTTTAAATAAAAGAAAAACCAAAGTTATGATCTTTTCCTTAAAAAATACCACTAATTCTCGAGATAATGAGTGTGTAAAATTTCTAGGTGTTCACTTAGATTCCCGTTTATTATGGCATAATCATGCTGAACACATTGTTGCTGAAACAGGAAAATATATTTTTTTAATTAAGTCATTGCGTGATCATATTTCATTAAAGATCCTTCTTTCAATATATATTTCGCATATATTCACTCCAGACTGTCTTACAGTATATTGGTATGGGGACATTCTCCTGCTGCTGAAAGGCTGTTTAAAATTCAACGTCGTGCGGTTCGAGTTCTTTCTAATCTCCAATATCAAAAAGATTGCAAAGAATACTTTTTCAAATACAATATTCTTACTTTACCTTCTTGTTATATTTTGGAGACTTTGCTTTATGTAAAAACTCACTTGCATGAGCAGGGCCGGATTTAACTATTCTAATGCCCTAGGCACCAAAGACTGGTGGTGCTCCCAACCCTCCCCAGGAATAAGGGAGTGTTTGCATAACGCCTTTATTAATTTTATTGAACAAGAATGTACCTTCATTTACAATTTATACTTGTAAATATATAGTCTAAAGTATTTATTATCTTATTAAATGATTCCAAGATTGCTGAAGTTGCACAGCATGAGTCTCCCAACGGGTGCCCGAAAGTCTCTTCAAAATGTTGTCATTTTGAATAGCAGATTTCGTAAGATTGTACCCGCCTGTCGAAGCCGAAAAAAAATTATACCCTGTTTGTATAACAGAAAATAAATTAACAGCAATTTGACATTTTTTTTTAATTTGTGGCAATGTCAAAGGGCCTTTTTAAATTTATTAATAATTTACGAATTTTAATTTTATTTTAAACATAAAAAAATTTTTCAATAAAAAATGAAATGGCGTTCACTTTTATGAAAATTACAAGAACTGAACACCTTTTCTAAATATGACTGACAACAATAACATTTACAGTACAAAAAGGTACTAAAATAAAAATCAAATTGTAATGCTACTGCACAAATTGCGAAGCGCCGAAAGTTACAAAATCTGCTACTGTACGATGCTGAAATATATTGTTTCTTAAATGACCTGTTTAGAAAATCTCCTATTTAAATTCTCAGGAATTTCGGAAACTACTTTATGGTCTTGCACACGGTTTGTACGGCAAACCAACCTTTGTTAGCATAGGGATACGGGTTCTATAAGGTTCAGTATTCTGTACTGATTTGCTCGCAAACTGGCCACCTCTGCACATGTGATTTCCTGTGTCAGCAGCGGTGACCTACCACAAAGAATTACTCGAACAATTAAAAATTTGTCAATGAGTACTAAGATAATAAAATGTTGCAATTTTTAATTTTAAATATACATTTCCAAAGGTTTTGGGGCCCCTCCAGCTTTGATGCCCTAGGCCAGTGCCTACTGTGCCTTAATATAAATCCAAAGCTGTGCATGAGTATAAAAGACGCGGTGAGTTGCACAGCTTTTCATTAAGAACTAATGACTTCTTACACACTGATTTTCATAGACTAGCTAGAAGTAGAGTTAGTGCTACATACTGGGGTCAGAAATTTTATAATAAACTGCCAATCCACGTAAAAATTTATAATATTAATTTATTCAAAAACACTGTCAAAAAGTTTCTGCTCACAAAAAGTTACTACTCTTATCATGAATTTTTGAATGATGTGATTGTACTTAAGTAAGGTGTCACTTTATATTCTATAACATCTGTAAGAAATGACGTGTGCAAGCATTTATTGATATTATGTAAAAGCACAAATATATTATTATTATTATTATTATTATTATTACAATAAATTTAGGACTTCTACATTTTAAAATCTCTTCTAAATTCTAGAATAACTCAATTTATTAGAACACGAAAAGGTGAGTGGTGCTTATTCCCTGGAACTTTGGAGTCTTTGGAACTATGTATATAATACCTATCATACTGAGTATTATTCTTTTTATTATATTGTTGGTTACACAAACAAAAATTTAATTTTCTTTCATAAAATTTAAAATCATAAAATTATTGTGAATAAAAATGGACGAGTTTTACATTGGAAATCATGGATGTGGGATAACTTCCAGATATACATTTGCTTATGCATTACTTAATATAGGTATACTGTATATGAAGTTGCATAACGTCAAACAATAAAAATTGCATCACAGTATAGATATCAATTAATATCTATACTGTGATTGCATCTGATGAACGAATTCGTCTGTTATACATATATAATGTATAACAGACGAATATATACACTATACATATATATGTACTGTAGAAGTATTTGTGTCACAATAAACTTAAACTTAATGCTTAGATCTTATAATAATTATTATATGATCTAGCTTTTTTATTTTAGGACAAAATTCCGGTTCTACAATTTTCTTGTTCTGGTTGTTCCCGTTTTATAAATCTCTTGAATTTTTTTGCTTAATTTTCGTTCGTCACAAATTATATTTGCCTTTTACGTGCGTCCAACAAAGAATGTATCGAAAAGATACAGCAACGAAATGTGAGGCCTAAGTGCCGGTTGGCTACGGTCAGCCCCCATAAACTAAGAATTAAGTGTGTATACAACGACCAAAAATATTGTGTGAATTGTGCCTCACCCTCAAGCGTCTATTTACTTTCACTAATTTTTATCATGGCTTACCTGCCCACCTTGCAAGCTTCTGTACTTACTTCGACCACTGCCTTGAGAAATACAGGACCGTTTCCGTCATGGAGGAAGGAATATAATATAGGAATTATATTCATTTGTCCATGCTTTCCGTATTATATCAGGGCCAGGCGCGGATCCAGGGGGGGGCAATGGGTGCAATTGACCCCCCCCCGACACACGACCGAGGTACTTTATTTTGACCAATTTCAAAATTTTGAAATCGCATTTCATTTTGTAAATATAGTACAACCTCTATAGTCCGAATTCACGATTATCCGAACATCCAGTAATCCGAACAAAAACTCTGCAATCCGAACTGAACTTGGAAACACGCACCTACTTGCAAAAATGACGCAAGATCTTTCTGCATATGTTGTGTGGAATATTTTGAATAATAATAATAATAATAGCATTTATTGCCCAACAGTTTTTACAAAACCAATTACAGAGCAACAAAATTAATACAAAAGAACAAAATAATTAGCATTCTAAACCGAGTTAATTAATTAACTAATTCTGGAAAAAAGGTTGAAGTCATCGAAGAAATGAGGCTCGAAATCTACAAGAAAAAGTATTTAGTTAAATTTCATCCAATTGCATCTCAAAATTCTGAAAAAATTCAGGGTATAGATCACGGCGTGTTGATTCCAAAAAGACAGTTTGTTTATGGTCACGGAGTAATATTTTTTTAGAATGTATCTATTATTCATTGTTGCTTAAGAATTCTTTAATTTTGTTTAATAAAATTAAGGTTTATTTCTTGAAGTTTGTTTTCAACTGTGTATGAAGTTGTTATTCAATTCCCTTTCAGATTTTTGGGAAAATCGCTGATCCGAACAAATCGTTAATCCGAACACACCTTTTTCCCAATTAATTCGGATTATCGAGGTTCTACTGTACACTATACGTGTAACGAAAACAACCAAATGTCACCCATGTTATGTGAAAAAGAGTATACTAGCTAAAATTTTATAGCAGTAAATTTTTTTGTTTAGAACGAATTTCTGGGAGATAGGTAAAATCGCACAAAAATTGCCCCCCCCTAAACGAAATCCTGTATCCGCGCCTGATCAGGGCGGTCGGTCAACAACAGGGGATCAGAGGCGGTGCCGTTTGGTTTAAATAGTTCAGAGGTGGTAAGAACGTCTTGCTATTATGCTTAATTATGGAATAAAAACAAAAATACTTATTCCAACATTAAAACTTAAATAAATTTCACTGCTACCTACTGCTTTTCTATTACATCTTATAAAATTATTTTTATAGGGCTTACAATTAAATGATAAGTATAAAATGCATTTTTTTAGGTAACTTAATAATAACGGTTCGGTAGAAATGCTAGGCTGTCTGATTGATCTAAATGACGATGGCACGTTTTAATGAATATTCAGTAAAAAATATCGTAGCAACAGATAAGAAAACAATATAGTTACGTTTTACGTTTTTTTTTTTAAATCGACGTGGGTAAAACTCAACAATCCATTTCTCAGTAATACTAATTTACACGACTAAACTATGTACATTATGTACAGAATAATTCCGACTCAACTCAACTCACAGGTACTCATTAATCGACTGGAAGGGATTTGACTAGACCCCAATTCTCTCACTGATTGACTACCCATTACCGACGGTGGTGTCTATTTAAATAGCCATGCGTTCTTCTAGAGGGCTCGCGATCGCTGCCTTCGAGGTTGTTCTAGACTCTGCCGCCGAGACTTCCGGCACCGCATCCAGGGTTTTCTCTATTCGAACGCCACCGTCACCGGTCATAGTAGAAAAGCCATAAGCGCCCTACCAGGGTGGCGTTTACTTCGTAACACTGTCCCCTTTTTAGCTCTGATCGTTTCAATCAGAAACCTCAACGGTGTCACAGTTGTACTTCACGAGACAGTCTAAATGGACAATCTTCATTTTTGTCTTCGGCCCTCGTCGAATTCTTTCCCAGTCTGATGACAACTTCGGACAACGACCTTTCTTTCTTCGTGGGTTATAGGACTATACCGAGGGCCATACCAAACCCCCTGCCTGGAATCCTTCTGAGTTACCCTTAAGGTCGTAGCGTGTTTTTATTCTATCACTCGCCACCCTAATCTTGTTGGGCACCATTTCGTGAACGTTTAGAAGCTTCTCCTTCAGATCATCACCGGAGCCTTTGGTCTTTTTCATGTACTCTTTCTCGTTTTCGGTCACTTTCGACGTTGTGTTCGTCCTAGTTTTCGGTCCTCTGACCACCACACATGCCGTACATTTCTTGCATCAACTCTCGACGTCTTCTCGATAACGGACCCAACAGAATCTTTCCCTAACTTTAAGAAGTGTCTTGTTGATTCCAAAATGAACAGCAGAACCTCCGTTATGCATTTCTCGGAGTACGTCTTTGGTTCTGATGGCCGCAACCACCAACTGCATAGTGAGTGAGATGCCTCCTATCCGCCCTTTTCCAGGCTCGCTTAAGCAATCCGTTCTCGACATGAAAGGAGTTCCATTGAGTGTATAATACCTTGAGAGAACGTGTCAGGCCGTTCTTTTCCATCTGAGGAGCGACCCAATATCGACATCTTTCTCCTGGCCTCATAAACCGAGCTATAGTCCATTGATCATCTTCTACGACTGCTTTCTTCCTACGGTTGAATCGTGTTTTGCGCTGATCAACCCCATCGCAATGTTTGCAGCTCTGATAAGCGATCAGTCTTACAGGCATCGCTTAAATACAACACTGATGAACTTTTCATTTCCAAGAGGTAGGACTTCCTTCACTGGGTCAACCGTCAATCCATTC